CCCCAAAACCCCAAAACCCCAGTATTTCCAATATTTAAATTAAAGGTGATTTGAAAATTATTAATAAACCTTTGTAAACTCGAAAATATTAAATCAGCACATACAACTTATCTAAAATTAAATGCCTCCAAGAACTTTGAAATATATTGAACTTGTTCATACTTTGAATAGAGCATTTAGCTTTGACTGGGATAGAGAGGAGTTATATTAAGGTAAGCCAGAAGCTAAGCATCCAATGAAACTTATGGCTGAATTGGGAAATTCTGATGTATTTTGGGCTCTAATCTCTGCATAATATTTCTCTTTTACTCTATTTGGACTGTCAAAGCGATAGGAGGAAATAAAGCAAAATTTAGAGTATTTATTAGAATATACATATAAGATAGATGAAATGATGTATTAAAATCCAGTCTGGAAGTAAAATATCTGGTATTTTATAAAGAGATTCACTAAGAAATATCTCCCCAAAGCCATCCTCAAGTGATATTAAAAATGTGAGAAATTCAAGCTATAAATTGATCAACTTGATATCAAATAAAAACATAGAAAAGATATGGAATAATTTTAAGTCAAAATAGCCAGGAGATTTAGAAAGTAATATACTGATATTGATACAATTATTAATATGGCTGAAGAAGACCTAGAAATTTAGAAGACTTAAAATAGAGCTATAATCGATCAATTAATTAAAAAATTTGTCAATTCATACGAATCAGGGTACTGTGAGAAAGAATAAAATATTTACACTTAAAAAGACCCAGAGTATTATTATCTTCAGTCTTAAAAAAGGCTTGATGATCTTAAATAATATTATAATCAATATATCAGGGATGAAAAAAATCTATTGATTGATATTGAATATCCCAATATGCTTGAGGAAAAATTCTATGAAATAGTCTATAAAAAGACAAGTTTTAAACTTCAAGATACTGAGACAAGGCTATTTTTCAGTGAGATGCAAAGATAATCTAGAGAGTTAGGAAGTGGAAAATCATAAATCTAAGGTGATAATGAGGATAAAAAGGCTATTATTGAGTAGTCTTAGCTTGGCCATAAAAATCGAAAATTAAATAATTAAGGGTAAACTGATGATGATATATGCTTTGTTTGCGGAGATGGGGATTATGAAGATGATAATTTAATTGTATATTGTGAAAAATGTAATATTTCAGCTCATCAAATGTGCTATGGGATAGATAATTTAGATGATGACGTAGAGTGGATTTGTAATAACTGTGAAGCATTTGGAGAGATCAAAGGATTAATCATAGCTTGCTAACTGTGTGGCTTGAAAGGTGGAGCAATGAGGCCTTGTAATGTCAGAAGATAAGATCTGATTAGATACTTTCAACAGAATTAAGAAATTGTAATAACAAATCCAAAAGGTCTGAGCCAATAAATGCGAGGCATAGATCAAGTAATTACGAGAAAGCAAATTATTCAAAAAGAAAAGCTTACATTAGAACTAAAGCACCAAATTCAAGACTCTTCCTCATAAGGCAATGATAAAAACTCATAATTGGATAATTAGGTAAAGGATGAGGAAAACTATAAACTAAAGTTAACCAAATCTCAAGAATTTGATGAGTTTGCTTCTTAATATGTTTGGGTCCATTAAAATTGCGGACTGTGGTAATCATATAAAAATCCTATAATTGAATCAAATATGTTATTTGACGCAAGAGAATTTGATTTTAACTACTACTTTATATCTTGCTTTATTTGCGATGATAAAAATACTAAAGAAAGGATATTTACCTCTAAATACAAATGTGCTGATACTTAATGCTAGGTAGTTTTCCATATTGAGTGCGCTTGAAGAAATGGAACAATCATGTAAATTGAATCAACTGATTCAGGCTATAACTATCCAAAAATGTTTTGTAAGACTCATGAGTTTTAAAGAAAAAATCAAATTTAGAAATAAATACGACTAAACAAGGAAAGAGATATCACTGTATTTGTGAGAAATATGAGGTAATGCCTTGATAACATAGATAAAAATTTAGATAGTATTGTCAGAAAAGCAATGGGAGTTAATTATAAAAAGCTATATGAAGCAGATAATATAAAAATGCCAAAAGAAAAGGCCCATTTCGATCCAAATAAAGATAAAGGAGATTTAATAAGAAAAATTCTACTTCATATTCAAAAGTTATTTAATGATAATCCTAATTGAAACGGCTAATAGGGAGAACCTAAAAAGATTTCATATTCATTTATTAAGAAACAGAATGTAATCTCTCTTGTAGAATCAGGATTTAATTATAAAAATTTGAATGGGCCATAATCTTTTAGAGAATTTAGAAGAATCATTGAAAATGAAAGTAAGTACGATCAGCTCTATAGTTTGTTTGAAATAGAATAATCTAAAGGTGGTAATATTAATGAAGAACTTGACAAAATTGCTAATCAAAAACTTACTGATTCTTTGTAAAGAGGTTGGCATCTACTAGGTAAAAGGAAATTCGAAAATAGAGACCCTAATAAAATCACTGAAAATAAAAATAATTAAAATAAACAGTAGAGTATTAGTCGTGGCATTATTCATAATCCTGAAAGTCCAAAGAGAGATTCTACAGTCAATTATGGCGAAATCGTAGAAGCTTACATTGTAGATCATAATTTTTAAAAAAGAAGAATTTACTTTAAAATTGAAAGACCCCTATTATTAACAAAAGAAGAATAAATATATGCAAGAGAAATGAAGTTTAATCAAAATCGATCAATCTCTACAGATAGTAGCTGTTCAGATAATTGAAACAACAATTAATTTTAATTTCATAATTTCCTACTTTATGATATTTATTTATTAATCATGGGGTTTTGGGGTTTTGGGG